AAGCTTTGCCTGAGTCTCCATGAACTTATGATGATTGACTAGGGAGGTGCTGAAGAAAGAATACACACACTCCAACAAGCTGAAAAGCTCCACAGCCTCTGGGACAGCCTTGCAAGTATTGCACAAAACCAGGTTGAGTTGATGAGCATAACAATTCACATAGATAGCCTCAGGATGGAGCCTTCTAAAATGTGCTTGTACACCTCCAGTGGAGCCACTCATAACGGCTGCACCATCATATGTTTGTGCTACACATTTAAGCTCTGCAAGACCATAGTTTTGGATCTGCTGCTGAATCTCATTTGCAATGGACTGGGCATCAAATGATTTTATCACTGCTAGTGCAAGGAAACGCTCCTTCACTGCCCCCTCTGACACGTACCTGACACAAACAGCTATCTGCTCTGCCTTTTCATCCCTCGCCTCATCTGCCATGATGGCATAGACTTTAGACTTTGTCATTTCAGATACAATGACACTAGTAACTTCCTGGGCACAAGTCAATCATGTCATTCTGGGATGTTGGCGAGATATACTCTGCATTTGATGGGGGATTATGTTTTTGAAGAAAAGGATCGAACTCCTTCAAAAGCTCCATGCACGCAAGAAAATTCCCTCTGTTTGGGCTGTCTTCACCTTCATCATGGCCACAAAAAGGGAGTCCCTGTCTCCCTAACATAGAGGTGACTGCAACAATTCGTCTGAGATACTCTCTTCTTTCAACTATCTCACTCACATTTGCAGTTGCTATCATCTGTGCAACGTTTCCCTGTTTGCTAGTTCCCTGGTAGCTTTTCCATGTAACAACACTGTCCTTATGTGTTTGAGCCATCTCATGCTTGCCAAAGATGGCTAAAGCTTTCTTCCAGTTCTTGCAACCGCTACTGACCAAACTATCATGTTGCAGAAAGCTGCATTCTGGTTGACTGAGTATTCTAACCAGTTGTGCTTTTCAAACCAGCGGTGGTTAAATGCTCGCTTCTGTGTACCAAAAGTATCATGTGGATAGCTCTTCAGCTTCACCTGTCTGGGCCCTGTGTCTTTGTCATCTAAATCAAACCCTGCAGTAGAATGAGTTGCTGCAGCTGCTTCATCATTTTCCCTCTCTTGACCTGTTTGCTCTCCTCTCTCTGTAATAACTAGATCTTCCTCTGCTTCTCGATCCATTTGCTGCAGCTCCTCTGTCTCTCCTTGCTCTCTCTGACTTGAACTTGCCTGTTGACCTTTTTCTCCCTCAGCCTCTCCTTCTGCCTCACCCTTCAAGATACATTAAAACATACTGAATTGTAATGTAAATTGCTAATATCACGATTTCTGCTCATGGGCCACAGTAATTTGTTGCTCCCAAATATTTTGAAGTTACAAACATTACATTTGAGCACGCATGTGACTAAAATGGTTGCAATTTAAAGCCCTGAAAAATATTACTAAATTACTTGAATTGAAGTAATATTAAAATAGAACCCTCAAAAATATGTGAGTCAGGCTAATTTGACTTATATATATCTTTGCTCTCTCTACTTTCTAACCTTGACTCTCCTAAATGAAAGCTCAAGTTAAACAGGTGTTATATGTTGTACCGTGACTGAAATGTTTCATATTTCATATCCATATTGAGTTCCATAACATTCTAATCAGACTATATGCATCACAAATGACTCCATCCTGTGAAATCTTTGACTCACCTCTCCAGCAGAGGTCTCTCCCCTCTCCCTCTTTGTGATCCTCTGCCCTGACTCCTACAGGTTAATGGGGATGGAGGAGTGATTATTATTATTTCCACTGATGATAACCATACCTGAATGAGCTCAGCTCGATTTTTCAGAGCTAAAACGAGTGACAGAAATTAACATTATGCTAACAATTTAACTTAGTGCGCTAGCCAGGTTTTTATTTATCAAAATGGGAGCACCTGGTTCATTAATTACATGGGACTCTCTGCTGTTAGCTGGAGCTAACTAATTGTTACTACCAGCCAGTGATGAAGACTTACTTTCTTGAAAAACTTGCGTATATCCATGATTTCTTGCTGTTTGGCATGTACCCTAGTGTGTCCGCAGGTGTATACGAGCGGAGTGTAAAGTAGCAGTGAAAACGAGGACTGGATTTTCAGTCATGTGGATGTCCCCTGTGAACAACTGGAACGGATTGGATAACGAAGCACTGACGCTACCTTAACAGTGTAAAGTGAAAGGGACCAACCGAGTTATGATCATATTTATGTGAATAGCGACAGGTTTATATTATTATTTCTTTAAACCCATATTCCTGCATCTTTATATTGAATTTGTCTGCAAGTTCTGTAAAAAAAAAAAAAAAATCGAATAAATAAAAAAAAACAAAAAACTAAACACCAAATTATTTAGGGGGGCTTAAGAACATTTTAGGGAGGCTTAAGCACCCCTAAAATAGGCCTAACGACGCCACTGACAGAGCCAATGTTGTCTTATGGAGCTGCATTAAAAAAAGAACACGCGGCACATGGAAATCAAAACTGTAGTTCTCACTTCTGATTTGGTGATTGGGATTTTTTTGTTAGGGTTATCCTTGCGATAGAAAAATGCTTGACTGACGGGGTCATTGTCTTCCTTCTCAGAGTCCAAAGGAACAACCTAAAATGAAATGTTACAGAGAGGCCTGTGTTTATATTCACATTGTAAATAATGGCCCAGTGGAGTTGAAAACATTTTTTTAAAATATAATGAACAACAAACAAAACAAAAATATTTTAAGAAAAGTTTGATGAATTATTAAAACTCACAATAATCACAAACTCGTCTTCCCCGCCCTCAGGAATGTCTTTAACCAGTTTTTTTAAACTTTCCGTCATCTCCTGAAGGATGGAGGAGACAACATGTGTGTTAATATTATTGTTTTGTTAATCTTGTTTTATGAGCTGTTCTCATTCTTACCAATTTTTCCTGTTTATGTTTTTTCTTGACCTGGGAAAGGGGCAAAGCAGGACAGTGAAGAAAAGGATTTAGTCAGTGCAGAAAACACAATAACTCGAAACCAAATGTTTAAAGAAAATCTGTTTTTCTTAATTTCTCTGTTTCAAACAGGATTTTTTTTACCCACCAAATTCAAACTGTTCCAAAACGTTATTTACGATATATAGTACTGTACAAACATTTTAGGCAGGTGTAAAAAAAATGGTGTAAACAAAGAATCCTTTGAGAAATATAAATGATTGTTTATCGGCCCCAAATTATTTCTGCAGCAGGACAACAACCCCAAACATACAGCCAAAGTCATTAACATTATCTTCAGAATAAAGAAGGACAAGAAGTATTGGAAGTGATGGTATGGCTCACACAGAGCCCTGATCTCAACATCATCGAGTTTGTCTGGGATTACATGAAGAATGTGATGATGAATGTGTACTGGATGTGAAGAGTGTACTGTGTGATAAGGTAGTGTCAGAACAGCACACACCACTTGTCCTGTCATGAATCTATAATAAGGCTGATTTTGTATTGGTTTTTTCCCCTTGCAGCAGCTTGGCTATGATTAACTTACTAGTTTTCCTTTCAACAACACACTCGTCCAGCTTCAAGTAAAGAGAATTATATTCTAAGTTTTGTTGATGAATCATGAAAGACTACTACTGCATGAGACAAGCCTGGACATGTCTGAGAATAAGAACCGCTGTGTCAGCCTCTGATGACAATTTAGGTTATGTCTACATGTACATGGCTTCAGAATCAGAATCAGAATCAGAATACTTTATTAATCCCGAAGGAAATTAGGGTTACAGCAGGCAGCACGCTAATGGCGCATGCGCACTTACTTCTTTGATAAACACAACCTTTTATGTGCCTTTTGACTTTTTGCCAAAATGTAAACTGTTCTGTAAACTTCTCTCTCTTTTCCTTCCAGTAAACCCTAAGTATCTCCTCAAAAAAGCACTGTGGGAGAAACCTGGACACCTGCCATCAGGGACAGCAGCATAAAAATGACATATTACACAGCCAATGTTGTCTTATGGAGCTGCATTAAAAAAGAACACATGACACATGGACACATGTGTCATGTGTGACACATGGAAATCAAGGCTGTAATTCTCACTTCTGGTTCGGCGATTGGGATTGCTTTGTTAGGGTTATCCTTGCGATAGAAAAACGCTTTACTGATGTCTTCCTTCTCAGAGTCCAAAGGAACAACCTAAAATGAAATGTCACAGAGAGGTTTGTATTCACATTGTAAATAGCGGCCCTGTGGAGCTTGGAAACATCTTTTAAATAAAATTAACAAAAATAAATAAAATCAAAATTTTAAGAAAAGTTTGACTAATTATTAAAACTCACAATAACTTCAAACTCGCCTTCCCCGCCCTCAAGAATGCCTTTAACCATTTTGTTTAAACTTTCCCTCATCTCCTGAAGGATGGAGGAGACAACACGTGTGTTATTATTATTGTTTTGTTAATCTTGTTTTATGAGCTGTTCTCATTCTTACCCCTGACATTTTCGGTTCCTCTTTTTTCTAGAATTGAGAAAGGGGAAAAGTGGGAGGGTGAAGAAAATTATTTATTCAGTGCAGAAAACACACAGCAAGCATGATCACATGATGCCAACCTATAATTTGCATATATATTTAATTTTATCCAACAGCAGCTTAGTTTTCTTTTCAACAACACACTTTCCCAGCTTCCACTAAGGAAAATGATATTGTAAGTTTGGTTGCTGATGAATGATCAAAGACTAAATATGGATTGAAATAGTGTTTTTAAGCAACATTGACTACAACAAGCCTAGGCATGTGTGAGAGTAAGAGCTGCTGTGTCAGCCTCTGATGACGGTTTATGTCCACGTGTACACAACTTTTTTTGTAAACACAGCCTTTCCTGTGTCTTTTGGCCTTTTCTCCAAATGTAAATGTACTTTGTATCACCAAAATCTGATCTTTTGAAAAATTTTCCCAGGGTGGGGATTTGTTAAAGCTCAGGTTTCTCTTTTTCCCTCCATCCATGCATCCCATTCAGGGTGAATACTTGACTTGTAATACAGGCACATACATAAAAACATAGCTGCATACCGTGGCTTGACCCACACAGCGGTACAGATCCCGAGTCATGACCCTGTGTAGAATCTCCCTTGCCTCCTTCAGAGAATCTGAAGAAGAGTTGAGTATTCTTTCAATGACCTGATCTACAGAGTAAACACAGAAATAAATTGGAAGTTAAGACAGTTCAAACAATACAGTTCAGCTTCACAAATTGATCAGAAGTGTCTTACAAAGTTATTTACACAAATTTGTATCACAAAAAAACAACAACTGTATTATTATGACAGACATTAGTAAATATACTGGGAGAGAGACAGAGAAATAATTTAGAATTTATACACAACATAGATTGAAGTCACTACCTGTCAGCTTCATGTATGCCTCCATTTTATCTTTGGCTTTGGAGAGAGGAACCTTCTTTGAAGTTCCATTTCCATTTGAAATTTCAATTTGGATGTATGGATCCTTATCTGCTAGTAGGAGGGCATCTTTGATCCTGGATATAGAGACACAACATATGACTTTAGGGGCACACTGCAGACAAATTAAATAATATTAGAAATAGAACTGTAGGTACTCACATAATTTCTACAGCCATTTTTATCTTGTGCTGGCAGGCTCTTCTGTGGATAGAGTGCCTTGTGTGGAATATGTCATACATATTTTCTATTTCCTGTTGACAACATGGTTTAGTTCTTGCTAGTCAGGTAAAAGAATTTCTGCTTAAAGATGATTTTAAAAAAGCAGGGATCAACACCTTGTCTCTAGAGCAAATGTGCTTACTCCCGTTCACATCACACACCCTGGCAAACATGATGAAGCGCTGATGGTCAAAGTTGTTCTGGATGCCCAGGTGGTGGCAGTCCCTGAGATAGGAGTGAGAAAATATGTGAAAACACACACACACACACACACACACACACACACACACACACAGAAAACAATTATGATAAACTCTTCAATGCACCCTTGAGTGTGTGGCACATAGTAAAAAGTGAATGCAGAACAAAGTGCACATAGTTTTGGACATTGCACCGAACTGAATATTTCTTTTTAAAGCAAGCTTCACCTGGCAAAGTAGTCAAACTTGTCAACATCAATGCCGGTTTCCTTGTTTGACACAATTTCATAGAGAAAGGATTTTTCCTTCTCTCGACCTGGATACTGCTGTGGAGATAAAGCCATTAGAGAAACATTAGATACTGACTTCTTCAGCAAAGATGATACTGAATTCACACAACTGACTAGTACCTTGTGCTGAGCTGTTTTTTTCTGAGTGTCATCAATCATTCCTTTAATGAACACCAGGTCGTTTTCCTTTTTGTCTTTTATTTCCAGCCCATACTGCTCCATCACTGGCTTCAGGCCATTTTCCTCCAGTAAGTAATCAAACATCTTTATGGAGGCTTCCTCATGCTGCAAGAATACGCAGACATGCATTTTAGTAGTGACAGGTTGAAAGTGAAAAAACAAACAAACAAAAAAACCCCAAGCAGATTAAAATTATTTTAATGCATATTTCAAAAATAACAGTCACAATATGCTTTACAAAGCCAGGTTACAACAATATACAATGTATAACAACTGAATTAAAAGTAATACAACATGAAAGGTAAGAAAGAGTTAAAAAGCAGTAGTGTCATGAAGCGCTCTGTGGCAGGCAGGAGTTGGACCCAAAATGCAGGACTCAGACACAAAGGATGAACTTAAAACCACAGCTTTAATTGCTGGCACGGGAAAACGAGTATACAATGCAAACTAAACTGGGAAATAACAAACTAAGACACAGGGAGCTCCACACAGCATGAGGGACGACGCAACACTGACTCAGAGAAACACAGGGTTTAAATACACTGGGAAGTACCGAGGGGGATGAGAAACAGAAAGAGGGCACAGCTGGGAGAAATCAGAACTGACGAGACAAGGAAGCAAAGTAGGATACACTGACATGAGACACAGACCTTCAAAGTAAAACAGGAAGTAGCACAGACGCAGACTTGACTAGGGGAGACAGAGCAACTAAGAAACACAGAGACAAACCATTAAGCAGAGGACTCTAAGAACCAAAATACACAGAGGGAAATACTAAGCATGGAACACAAGAAACTAGACTCGAGGGAGTAACAAAAGACCAACCATGAGAACATAATACACAATACAGAGTGACAGAAAACACAAGAAACTCAAAACATGCAAAGACACTGACCAAGAAACACAGACTTACACAGAACAGAGGGGGCACAGAAAAACATGAAGGGCAAGGGATCAAAACTAGAAACCATAGAATAAATCACACGAGTACAAAATACAAGAATCACAAAGGACTAAAAACGGTGGGTCAGGAGACCCAGGATCCTGACAAGTAGTTTGCTAAAAGTGATACAGATGTGTTAGCTCTCAGATATCACGTCTAAAAGCGAGCTCTATTATTGTGGTCAAGACAGTCATACTAATTAGAACTCTTTGAAACCTTAAATGTTTTCATTATATCAACATGAATTTGTTGATTGTGGGAGGAAAAGGATAAAACAACACTAACAGGCAACTAAAATGAATAAAGTGGTAGGAGTTTGGTTTAAAACACTGTTGGAAACATTTTGTTTTTTAAAGTACACTTCAGCTTTTTGATGTTATTTCATACGGTAAAACAACAGGAAGAACACAGCTTTTATGTCTGAATATTCACCATCTATCATCGCTAAACATGATGATAGATGCCTTTCTTTAAAATCCCCAGGAATACATGAGACAGGAATAACAAAGTCAAGACAAAACTCAAACTCATCACTGTAATAATGATAATAGTAACATAAAATTACCAAAACTAAGATTCACAACATATTATCTTTGTAAAGGGAACAAACAACAATATGACAATACAATAAACACAAAACAGGAAAAACTCAAACTGAATATAATAACCAAGGATTCAAAACTCCAAAATTATCACAGACCCTAAGAACCATAACACTGGGAAACAGGGAAAACCATGCAAAGTTTACAAACCAGTACCTCTAAAGGTCACTTATTAACGCAGTTTAATTAATCATTTTTTGGAATTTTCATGTACTTCAGTTTTAGGATGGCTACTACAATAAACTCCAAATGTTTTTTTGCTTACCTTCCACTTTTTATCACCTGCTTCGGGCATGAACATTCCATCAAAAAAATGAGAAAAGGGCCCGTGTCCTTTATGCAAAGAAATAAATATTTTAAAAAAACTCATGTGAATTTCGTGTGAATTATAAAGAAAATTATTTGTTATCTTTTTGTCAGGCATGCTTTATTTACGACTGACCAGTATAGACAGGGAATTTTGTACAAGTTAATTAAGGGTGTTGTGAATAGCTTCCAGACAAAAGAAAATATTGTGAAATTCAGATAGCATTTATTCTTGATATCTGTTGTGTTGGTATATTGTACATTATAAGTTTTTAAACTGCACATTGATTTTGTTCTCTGCCTGTTTGATACTTTATTTGTCAGTCCTAACAAATAAAGGCCAAGCTTAACATATTATTTACAATACGAGAATAGTTTCACTTTATTTTTACAATTGCCATCTGCAGCATCTAATATTTGTAATAGAGAAAAGGTGTGTATTACTTACCCAGGTCATGGCAAAGACCTGCAATTTGCACACAGAGGACATCTCGTTCATTGATGTCAAGTTCTGGCTGCTTCACCTTGAGGGCTTTAGCAAGCTCTCCTGCTAAGTATGCCACCCTGTATAGTACACACGGAAAGACAGAGTTCACCATGCAACACACTGAAAAACACTATACTGGTATGTCTGCAAACCTGTTGACATACCCAATAGAGTGTTCAAAGCGGTTGTGCGATGCTCCTGGATAAACAAAATATACCCCCCCAAGTTGCTTGATGTTTCGTAGTCTCTGAAACTGAGGGGTGTCTATGATCTTGACAAGAAGTGGGTGCAACTCGATGTGGCCATGAATGGGATCATTAAACACCTGTGTGAGGAACAAAGAAGAAGACAAAAAATTACAAGAAGAGAGAAAAAAAAGAATAAAACTATTTCCAGCTCTTTCCCAGTAGCAGGTAGCAGGTCTTAGTCTTTTTATATTTAATTCCGTTTTTTTTTTTTGCTTTTTTTTTTTTAAACAGTGGTAAGCAAGCATTGAGGCTGATGCTAAGCTAATGGTCTTCTAGTATCATGCTTGCTACTATGGTAATGGCAACTTGAAGGAATTTTAAAGGATATTTTATTTTACATTGATAGTTACAATCCTTTTGAATATTTTTGATACTGTACCGAATTTCCCAGAGGAACCCACCCGAGGGATTAATAAAGTTCTATCTTATCTTATTTAATCTTAAATGATAAGAATAAGTTTTGTCAAGTAGTCATGTTAAATCACCTTGTTTAAATCTTTGATGCCAAGGTGCTTCTTCATAGTATTGTAGATTGTAAGACGGACACTGCGATGCCTAAAGAGTAAAAAACAAAACAAACCCCCCCCCCAAAACATAAAGCATAGCAGAAACATACTAAATTAACTGAGTGAACAATGCAACTTCATTTAAAATGGATAAACTTACTTTATGCCAATTTTCTCCAACTGATAAGGAGTTACCTGAGAAAGATCAGTGATGTTTTGTTCTAGGCACATAAGGAAACAGATAGGAGTCATGACACACATCTACTGTGACTATTATTATTAGGAATATTGGCATGAAAAGAAACAAGAAAAAAGTATTCTAGCCATTAAAAGAATGAGTTTAATGTACTAAACCAGATAACTAACTTTTTATTTTGTCTTCATATTCTTTAAAGTTAGAACACACTTCTTCCAAAAACCCCTTCTGGACAGCCACTGGAATTTTGCAAGTGCCAGTGTTGGGATCATCACCATCGGTTGGTATCTACACATAGTACACATAGTTGATTAGTAAAATCAAGATAGCAGAGTTATGGAAGTGTAATCTGAACTGACAATTCTGACAAAAATCTATTATTTTTAATTGCAACTTCTATCATATCACTTTTTAAATCAGTAATGTCTAACTACCATTAGAAACAATAAAGTAGTACCTCAAAGGGTCTTTTTTTGCACCCTTCTTGTTTGCCACTCTGTGTAATCAGGAAAGGATATTTTATTTTACATGGATAATTACAGTCCTTTTGAATATTTTTGATACTGTACCAAATGAGAAAAATAGGTTTTGTCAATTCACCAGTTATTATAAGATAAAGACCGAGAGTTATGTTAAATCACCTTGCTTTCTTTGGTGTCAAAGTGCTTTTCCATAGTGTTGTAGATTGGAAGATGGATACTATCCCTTAAGAGTAAAAAAACTAACAAAAACCCCCATAAGAAAGCATAGCAGAAACATACTAAATTAACTGTGTGAACAATGCAACTTCTTTTAACATGCATAAACTTACTTTATGACAATTTTCTCCAACTGATTAGGAGTTAGCCGACGAAGGTCAGTGATATTTTGTTCTGGGTACATAAGGAAACAGTTAGCAGTCATGTGATACATTTACTGTGACTATTATTGTTAGTAATAATGGCAAGTTAAGGCCTGATGAATAATTACAAGCATAAAAAGGGGCAAGCATGCTGTTCCCTAAAAATAACTATCTGATATCATTCTGCTCTTTAATTTGAATAGTACCCTGTTTTTATTTCCTGCCCCTTTCCAGTTCAAGTACAAATGCTTGGTTAATGAATTATGTTTTGTGTTTTTCTTTAATGCTTTTAAAAATGTTTAGAATATTTTGGGTGGAATTTCTTACAGTTGAGCAGTTTGTAAAATGTATCACTGACTTAAATCAGCATACAGTACAGCAGGTATTTACAAGTTTACAAAAGTAGTAGCATTTGAACAAAGTAGTAGTATTTCCCCTAAGCACTAGTATGAAAATATACTTAACGTGCCTAAAGTACTCATGTGTACTCAATATATTATACTTTCGAATAACTGAACAATTCTGACACTAACAAATAGATTTGTGTTACAATAGATGACAAAAATGATGAGAATTTAAAATGAATTAAATCTTAAGTAAATACTTTGGATTTCCTCGTAAAAATTAAGGGAGGAGAAAAAGAGAAATTATTAGTTCAACACATGCAGAAATTAGAACAATTAAATACTTGTATAAAGTAAAGATGCATTCAACAATAAGATGAAACCAAGTTTGTAAACAACAGAAACATTTTGCAGAATGTAATTTCCATTATACTCAATTTCTTCTTTATTTCTGCTTTCTTAATTACTCTTTATGAATAACACATTACAGACACATTGGCAATCATTTTCACACAATCATCTGTGATAATTGCAATTATCAAGAGACATGTTATGTATGTTTGTGTCAGTTACCTTGGCAATAGCAATGAATCTGACTTCAGTCTGCATGAAAAGGATGTCCTTGTTACTGATAATATGCACTTCAAGCTGTCCTCTTTATATAAAGAGATGTTTGGTGTTCAGTCTCCTCCCCCTGTGCTTTCTGTATTTCTATTTGCGTGTGTGTGTGTGTGTGTACGTATCTATGGGTGTGGCGTTGAGATCACTGCTGCAATACCTGTGCAGAGGATTTAGTGAATCTATTTTCAGAAAGAGAATATTGTTTTCATAATTACTAATAATTTTCATAATTGTGTATTTGTAGCTCTGAACAATCGTGTTGTGTTTTATGATTCTCCTCCAACCTTTGCTCTCATCCTGTTTTTCTGTCTCTCTCTTTGTGGATGTGGCACTTTCACTCCTCTCGATTAACCAATTCCACATTGTTACATTACTACTGTGACACCTGTGTGTAGGATTATTATTTATTTTCAATCAAGTATTCATAATCCTGTTATTAGAAATAAATGTATTAGAAAGGAAAATGGAAAACCTATGACCAGAGGTGGGTCGAGTATCCAAAAATTGTACTCAAGTAAGAGTACCATTACTTTAAAGAATTACTACGCCATTTTTTTTCCTGGTGCAAGTCCCTAATACTAGATTTACTAGCCCTGCGCAAATTTGCGTAAATTCCCCTGACCCTAACACCTCTTGGCACCCAGCTGAGATTTTCACAGGCCTTCAGCTCCATTGTTCTCCTGCTTTTGTTGTGCAAACACACCCTCCCCCAACCCTCAACCATGAGAGATTCAGGTCCTTCCTTACCTGCAGCGTACAATACACCATGGTAGTTTCTATGTGCAATACTTCTCATATGCAATATTAGTTCTTGTCAATCCTTGTCACTACATTGCATGCCTGTCCATAAACATATATACAACGAGTTGTACACATATTTATATAGCCACACCTTACATAACATGCATAAAGTCTAGTTACACACACACACACACA